TTATTTTATTTAGTTCGTTCTAAAAATAAATGTAATTTAATTAGTGTATAATTTTTCAAAATTTTGGGATCCGTTTTAGCTATGACTTTTAGTTTTAAATTCATATTCTTTAGTTATATAGCTTTAATATTTTGAATGTCGGTAATATTTGTTTACTGTAATTACTTTGAGTCAAAATTCAACAATCGATGACGAAAAATACCTTAATTATAGACATCTTAATGGACCTCTTCACATTAAATTTGTGCAAACAAAAAGTAATTAACAATTTAAAATATCTAAAAATCATATTAAAATTTATCAACTTTCTAAATTCTAACTATATCACATAAATAAATAAAAAAAACAATAGCTATTGAGCCTGTACTAGCATAGGCACATGTGTCTAGTATAAATTAATAAGAGAGTCTTGCCTCAGATTCATGCATTGAATATACTAAAAACTAAAATTCTTCCTTTTATGTGCATTGTTTTTAATTCCTTTAAATTACCATTCCTTAATTCCTTTGAATTACAGTTTGTATAGATAATAAAAGAATAGATATAAAAGTATACGTGATTAATTTGTAATTGTTTTTGTGAAAATTAATAATACAGTTTTTCTTTGAAAATATTAATAAATTAAAGTTGTGTTGTCAACTTACAAGCGTTCATAAATCTGAATTTTATAATTAAAAAGACGGGTGAGAAAAAAAGATTGAAATATAATTTACTTTTAAAGAAGTGTTTTACAATATACTTGCAAACAATTTTTCAAATTCACGGACGCTTATGAATTGACAACATGACATCTAAAAAAAAATTAAAAGTAAGATTCTTTTTTTTTTCTACATGGCTAATAAGTTACATAAGTATTGTTTTATTTTGAAAAAATATATATTTTAAAGCTTGTGGTAAAAAATGATTCTTAAATATTAGTATAGTTGTAAAATCATTTTATTATTAAAAAAAATTTAAATTAAATTATTTTTAATTATAATAAAAAATACTTTTTTAATGAGACCAAAAACAATGGTTCTACTTGAAACGTGATGACAAATAGATCAGGCCGGGTTAAACAAAGTGGGTCCCTAAAAGGAATTGGACTATTTCAAAGTGACGTTAGGTCATTTGATTTTACGCTTTTACACACGTTTTTTTATTTAAATAGAGACAAATATAAATAACAAATTACAATAGAAGAAGTATAGTTAAACTATTTCTGATGGTTAAAGAATATACTTCAACCTTTTAAAGAATTTTTTTTAAAAAAAATATCACAATATAAATTAGGAGGAGGCGAAGATCAATATATATAAACTTCATACTTATGTCTTATTACACAACACAACATACCACTTACATGAGAAAGAAACAACAAACATAAAAAAAAATACACAACCAACATGGACAAAAAACAAACAAAGCATATCGTATTTATGTAAAAGCTCACATGAATATATATGATCTCATCCTAAGTTGCTCGAATTCTTTAAAAATATTTTTATACTTGTGTCTGATCCTTCAAAAATGCACTATTTTTTAAGAATTCGACACGCACCTGATGACATTTTTTAATAGTCCGAGCAACATACATCCCATCAATTGCCATGGTGATCATCAACAACTTTGGTCATACCAACAATGAAGTTCAACAATCTTATAAGTTCAGGGACATTTTCATTTGGCCTTTCAAAATCCAATGTCCAGCTTACCAAATCGATTTCATCTTTTGTTTCGATATGAAGAGTTGCTTTAAAACTATCATATTTATCTGTTACATCTCCTTCAAATTCTTTGAGTGTGAGCACCTTATTTTCATGATCTATAGCTTCAAGTATTTGTTTAGAGATATTCTTTTCCCCATCTTCCTTACAAAAAAAAGAATTGTAAATGAGAAACCAAATAGAGTTGGCATGTTAAAATACCATCTAAAAAGAGCTTTATCCCAATCATAATCGCTAAAATAGTTGGAAAAAACTATCGTAGAATTTTTCAGTAAATTGGCCGGTTAAATGTATTCTCTTATCTGTTGAACTTAGATGAGGAGCCGGATGACATTTTTAGTCAATACAAAAAGCGTAAATGAGTTAGGAGTGAAGAGTGTTCGAGAAGATTCGATTGGCCGAAATGAAATTTTAGATTCGCAGATTTATCGACATCAAATTCGTAAAAAGAACCAAAAATTTCAAGTAGGTTGTGGATGATAAATCTTTGTAAACGCACTGCACTTCTATAGACTGCACCCGCTACTCCATTTTGATAGTGATTTCTTACCTATTTTTGTGTTCGATATGAAAGTATTAAAATAATATTATTTTAAAAACATCTGTATATATCTAAAACAAAATTATGAGGATGGAATGAGTATGGGAGGGGAGGGCAAGGGTGGGTGGGGCTTATTAGGGAATTTTTAAATGTTTAGCTTACCAAGGGTATAGGTCCAACAAACTTTGAATCCAACAGTTCCAATATCACCTTCAAGAAGATCAAAACCTTGTACATGCAAAGGGGACATAGCAGAGACATGATGTGGTTTATTTGTAAAAACATCATGAAATATATCCTTGTTAGCCTTCATTTCTATCTTGGCACACAACACAGATTTTAGACCCATTTTACTAAAGACTTGGAATTAAAAAGATGTAGCGACACTATAGGAAAATTGTAGCGGACAAGTGTTGATATCCTTTATGATTATTATTCAACAATATATATAGACTAGAAGGGGGAATGGGGGGGGGGGCTTTTTTTTAGTCTTTTTTTGGCATAACATCTTAATCTTGTCCCTTACAACTTCTATAACTACATTTCTCAAGAAAAGTGACATAAATTTTATTTTTCATGCACTTGTGTCGATACTTGTAATATATATACTATGCAATCATGTTTCAACCACTTCTAGAGAATATATAATTACTATTCTAAAAAGAAATTTTTATAATGCAAAATATAAGCTCATGCAGCTAATTATTTAGATACATTGCAATATTATGAATCTGATCAGATTTGAATGTATTCAGATGTCACGACCCAGACCGTCGTGATTGGCACCCACACTAACCCTCCAGTGGAAGAACCATTACTACAACCCAAACTAAACAACTCAACCAACAAAATTAAGGCATTTAAAGATACGGAAGCAGGTTTAAATATCTAAGCAAAGGAAAATAGGGAGTTCCCATAAACTCCAACAAAAGTCTAACAACCAAATGCGAAAATAATGCCTAGAACGTGAAAGTTCATGTACCAAAACTCTAACAAGGATCATAAGTCTAAAGGAAATGGGTACAACCCAATTAAACATAAGAAAACCTAAGTACTAGTCTAAGTCCAAAGATGTGGACGTAAACAAAAAGAGAACTCATGGCAGCCCGGAAGAACTGGCTCACCCTTGAATTCGAGTCATCACTGGTCTTCTAAACAAGGTCTGTCAGTAGCCGCCTGAAGATGCCCTGTACTCAATAAAGAAAGAGCAAGTGTAGTATCAGTACATAACCACAGTGTACTGGTAAGATCACGCGGCTATACCAATAAGTGAAACACATGCAAGTTACCATAACATTATAAAACAGGCATATACCGAACATATGTAATATCAATTATCACTTACGAACAATGTACAATTTCACAATTCTCAAGATATACGATCATGTCAAGTCAATCATCCTCTCATGGAATCCATACCCAAATTTTTAGTGTACTGGTAGTGGTACCCGATCTAAGTTAGTGTGTCGGACATGACACCGATCCCATAAATGTGCCGAAACGTGGACCCCGATCCAAGTTAGTGTGTTTGAACATAACATCCGATCCATTCAACAAGTCACAATCACAATCACAATGTACATTCTCATAATCATACAATCAAGAGTTGACTCATAGCCTACAATTCTTCATTCATACTCATTTACGATTAGTGTGATCAATAATGCAATATTAGCATACATATATGCATTAAAACGAAGTAATTACTCACATATATCACACCCACATGAAATCACAACCATCACCTACCTCGAACAAAGCTTGAATCCCCTAAGAAACTTGATTCTTCCCTTTTCGGATTATTTCCGCTTGTTCTTGGTCTATAAACAATCAATATAACACGAGGATCAATAAACAAGACCTAATTACCCAAACTATAATCAATAATTTCCACCCTAGGTCAAACCCTTGATCCCCCTACCTAGATTAGGGCTTTTTCCACCATAATTCCCAGATCATAACCCTCCCCCTTCGATAATTACCCAAGAAACTAAGTTCTACGGATTGAAAAATGGATTCAGGGAGTAAAAACCTTACCTTTAGCCTCAAGAATTGTGAAAAACCGTCAAGAACACACCTAGGGTCGTCTCCTAGATCTGAAGAACGAAACTTGCAGAAAATAACAATTTTGGGGTTTATTTTCGACTTAATTCGCGACTGGCCCGCTATGGCCGCCCTCATCCCGCCATAGTGGCCCCGCCCTAGCGGAAATAATCTTGCTACATCGGCTTACACGAAACCAATGAGTCGATTTAAGAGTTTCAAACTCCCATTTCACAACACACCTTCATCCCATGACACTCAGAAAATACTCGTTCATGCTAAGATCAGTTTCGAGAGTTCTACTCACCCAAATTCGATTTCGTAAAGTCGTACGGATTCCTTAACGTCTTAGTCATCTACTCATGTAATCAAATTCCATTTTAAACTACCTAATCATTACCAGGTTTCCCTAGACTCACATGATTCTAGTTTCGTCCAATTCTGGACTAGGCTAGGAAATTCCAAGTTACTAGGAAAAGTTTTTCGGCCCAAAAATTTTCTCCATTGGCTTTTCTGTAACGACAGGAACAGGTTGTTACAATAGATACAATTTACTCATCACTAGTCCCCGAGTGACAAACTAGGAAAAATAGGCTAAAGTTAGAGTAAAGTAGTACCTGAATCGACGAACAACTGGGGATACTTGTCTCGCATGTCCTTCTCGGTTTCCTAAGTAGCTTCCTCAATTGACAATGTTTCCATTGAACCTTCACGGACTTAATTTCTTTGGTCCTCAGCTTCCGGACATCACGATCCAGAATTGCAATCGATTCTTCCTCATACTGAAGGTCCTTGTCTAATACAATTGAGTCTCATTTTACAATGTAATCCCCATCTCAATTATATCTCTTCAACATGGACACATGAAATACCGAATGAACTCCAGATAAGTTAGGAGGTAAGGCCAATCTATAATCCACTGGCCCTACACAAACAAGAATCTCAAATGGACTAATATATCGAGGACTAAGTTTGCCCTTCTTGCCAAATCTCATCACCCCTTTCATAGGTAATACCTTAAGAAGAACCTTCTCACCAGTCTGAAATGTCATGTCCCTCAACTTATGGTCTGCATACTTTTTATGTCTACTCTGGGCTGCTAACAGCTTCTCTTGGATGATTCTTACCTTATCTTGAGCATCCTTCACTAAATCAACCCCCAAGGGTTTCACATCCTCAACCTCAAACCATCATATGGGTGATCTACATCACCTCTCATAGAGTGCCTCAAATGGTGCCATATCTATGGTGGAATGATAACTGTTATTATAGAAGAACTCACACAACGGTAGGAACTTATCCCAATGTCCTATAAAATCAATCACACATGCCCTCAATATGTCTTCTAACACTTGAATAGTCCTCTCTGACTGTCTGTCCGTCTGTGGATGGAAAGTTGTACTAAAAGTGAGTTGTGTGCCCAATTGATCATGTAATTTCCTCCAAAACTTGGATGTGAATTGCATACCACGGTCTGAGATGATAGAAAGGGGAACCCCGTGCAACCTTACTATCTCTTTTACATAAACTTTAGCCAACTGCTGAGCATTATAATCTATTCTGACCGGAATAAGATAGGCTAACTTAGTCAATTTGTCAACCACTACCCAAATAGAATCAAACTTTCCCAAAGTCTTGGGAAGACCAACCACGAAGTCCATAGCTTTTCTTTCCCACTTCCATTCCGGAATTGGCATTCTTTGAAGCAAACCTACAGGACTTTGGTGATCATACTTTACTTGCTGGCAATTTTGACACTTAGCCATAAATTCCGCTATATTTTTCTTCATGCCCGGCCACCAATATAGCCGATTCAAGTCTCGGTACATCTTGGTCACACCCGGATGAATGGAATATCGCAAAACATGGGATTTTGCCAATAAATTCGGAATCAAGTCACCCACTCTAGGGACACAAATCCTTCCTTTAAAATTGAGCGCATCCCCCCCCTCCCCCCCGCCCCTGCATCAAGAGTGGTCTCTTATGCTTGCCAGCCACTACTTTATTTCTGAGTTCCTTCAATTGCTATCCTCAAACTGTTTAGCCTTAATCTCCTCAATGAACGTGGCCCTTACTTCAATGCTATCTAACACCCTACCTTTCTCTGAGATGCCTAAGTACATGAACTTAGACTCCAAGGTCTGAATTTCCTTAGCCAAGGGTCGCTTGGATACACTCAAGCAAGCTAGACTACCCATACTTACCGGCTTCCAACTTAGTGCGTCTGCCACCACATTAGCCTTGCCCGGATGATATTAGATGGTCACATCATAATCCTTGAGTAACTCCATCCACCTTTGTTGTCTTCAATTAAGATCCTTTTGATTAAACACATGCTGCAAGCTCCGATGATCAGTAAACACCTCACACTTAACACCATAAAGGTAATGCCGCCAGATCTTAAGAGCAAACACTACCGCTGCCAACTCTAAATCATGTGTTGGGTAATTTCTCATGCACCTTCAACTGCCACGATGCATAAGCTATAACATTCTTATCCTGCATCAATACAACACCCAAACCCAAATGTGAAGCATCACAATAAACAATAAAATCTTTACCATCCACCGGTAATGCTAGAATAGGTGTTGTGGTCAAAAGAGTCTTGAGCTTTTGAAAGCTCTCATCACACTTTTCAGTCCATTTAAAAGGTATCTCTTTCTTGGTCAATCTAGTTAGATTTTTGGCAATAGAAGCAAACTTCTTCACAAATCGACGATAGTAGCTAGCGAGCCCCACAAAACTCCGAACTTCAGTCACAGAGCTTGGACGAACCAAATTCTTAACCACTTCAATATTTTGGGAATCTACCATTACCCTTTCAACCAAAATTCACACTTAGAAAATTCTGCATACAACTTTTGTTTCCCAAGAATACCCAGAACAATACGGAGATGGTCAGCATGCTCTTCCTCACTTTTCGAGTAAACCAAAATGTCATCAATAAATACTATAACAAATGAAAAAAGAAATGGTTTGAACACACCATTCATCCAACTCATGAAAGTTGCAGGGGCATTTGTCAACCCAAACGACATAACTAGAAACTCGTAGTGCCCATAGCGGGTTCTAAACGCCGCCTTGGGCACATCCTCATGCCTAATCTTTAACTGATGGTAACCAGATCTTAGATTGATCTTAGAGAAAACTGATGCATCTTGCAACTTTTCAAACAAATCATCTATCTGAGGCAATGGGTACTTGTTTCGAATGGTGACCCTATTCAATTGTCGGTAATCTATACACATCCTTATATTGTCATTCTTTTTCTTAACAAACAAGACTGGAGCACTTCACGGTGAAGCA